TTTGAGAAAAATGTTTTTTTTTTTTTTAACTCTTCTATGGTAATGAATCACTTATCATTAAGGCAAACACCCTTCACAAGTGAGGTGCTGTTATTGGGCTACCTGAGCTTGGGAGCTCTCCAATGTTCTGACAAGAGCTAGGCGGGGGTTGCCGGACCTTCCAGTGGACAGGAAGGACCAAGCTGTGCAGCCATCTTCCCATGGTGATCCTAAACCATCCAACTGAAACCTGGTGCTACAACCTGGCAGAACACAAGCACTGACCACCCAGGGAGAGCCCAGGGCGGTTCTTTTGTTGAGACTGAAGCACAGGCTGACGCTGTATCTTCACAAACAACCCTGTATTCCTATGAACATCAGTGTTCTGTGACCAACTAGGTTGCCTGTACTAGTAATGCCAGATCATCTGGAACTGTGGTACCCCACATCCAGGCCATAGGAGGGGTGTGGCAGAGCCCACAGCCTATAAACCCATCACTCTGCCAGTCACTGTATATATTAAACTAATTTTCAAGGGATGCAGTCATAAAATGATTGGGTCATTAGAAAAGTCATGACAGATTTTTTTCTGTTTTTCTATGCAAAAAGGTGCCACGACTTTTCTGACGACCCAACAGTAAGGCCTACCACCTGACAGAGAAGTAGCAAGGGGTGTACATGTTGAAATCAAAGAGTAACAGCGGAGGCCATTGAGAAGTGGGTACCCCTTGCAAGATTCAGCATGCGAGGTCCCTTAAAGGGTTAGGCAGTGGGGGTCAGGACGAGCCTTCTGCACAGGAAGGGGAGGAGTCACAGAACTGCCCACCTTGAGAACAAGCCTGAGAAGCAATATAACTTGCCTGACGCACACTCGCTGCAGGTGAACCTCCCTTCTGGTCTCCGGGAAAGCCCAAGGCAGGCAAGGTGGAAAGCTCCGCAGCAGGGGCCTTCGCATAGCAAGAGGCTGCCTGTCTTCTCACACAGCTGCAGGGACAGAAAAGGGGCAGTGTAAACCAATACCTAGCATGAATCCCTTTTGAACTCTTCCTAACTGAAAGGGAAAGTTTGAGTCTGTCCCCAGTGGAAGAAAATCCCATTTTGCTACAAGCAGAGTGAAATGCCTGGCCTGAGCAGAACCCACAATAAATACAATATGAGAATAAAATGATAATTTTTATAGGAAGGGTTGGGTTCCTCAGCAATGGCAATGGAAAAAAAAAGTAACAAAACCTTAAAGATACATTCAACATGTTTCAAATTAGATTTGAAACACAGCAGCACATTTTCATTATAAGTCAAAGACCTCCCAGTGTAGGTAACAGAGACCAAGCAGACTGTGGGTCAGGCACTGTTCTAGCATTTCTCATGTATCCACAGCCCCTCATGGAACCTCTGCCATTATCTCCATCTTAAGGATGGGGCAGGAGTTAAGGTACAGAGAGGTTAAGTGATCTGTCCAAAGTAATAGAGCCAGTGCACAGCAGAGGCAGAACCTTAACTGCCGTGCACACTGCTGCTCCTGTGGGCACAGGTCTAGCAATGGCCATAACAGCCACGGTAGACCCCGCCTGGTGTGCACATCAGCACCAGGCTACCACCTTACCTCTGCCAACATACAATCTTCACAAATTTCAAAAGTATGTACATACATGTGTATTATATGTGATGTATATATGAGATATATAACCTTCATGTGAATGATGTTAACTGAGGCAATTTAATCCTAGGATTCTGCTAATGGTCCATCCCTTACCCTTTCAAAATAGAAATCAGTGCCTGGTGCTAAGGCCCAAGAGGGACTAGGAGGGAAGTGAGAAGATGCCACAAGACTTCCTCTGCTATACCCAAGAACCTGGTCAGATGCCTTCGCAGATAAAGTGGACAGGTCTCTTCCCCTCACCTGACACACGTACTCCTTTTTGGCGGTCACTCCTCGTTCAGACTTTTTAGATGAGATGGACACTTCAGTCTGTGTTTCATCTGCACTTTCATATGGGGACTCCGAGGGCTCATCTCCTGGGCTGTCTGAGACCTGGAGATGAAGGAGGCGGACGACAGTTCACTAGTCGCAGAAAACAGCAGGTGGTGGCACCCTTCAGAGACATGCCCTCAGTCTCAACACTCATCCTGTACTGCCAGTGATTCCACTGTGAATGCACATTATCAACTGGTTTTGGTGATAACACAACTTGTCAACTAAACTGTGTAGAAAAGTCAGAAATGAACTTTACTTAATATTTAGTATACATATGTGTACATAAGAGGCATATTTCTTAAAAATAAATGAACTTTTATGAAAATTCAACTTGTCCTAAGGTGAACTAAGTCGGGCTTTGCAATAAAGAATATTGACCTTTCTTACCCAATCTGTTCAGCTCCAACCATTTTAAGGTAAGAGAAACATGTTAATACCAAACCAGTTTTTACAGGAACCACGATGAAGTGTCAAATGCAAGGCCTCCTCAGGTGACCTTGCTGTTCTCCTGTTACACTGAAGACTTTGAGCTCTTTGGGAAGGATGTTCCTACACTAGGCTGCTGACCCTAAGGTAAGGATGGAATCCTCTAGGCCCGCAACTCTAAGTTACCCAAGTTACCCTTCGAGGGGTAACTTCTTCCCATTGCCGGTTTTTCCCACTAGTGTTTTATAGTTCATTCTCTTCTCTCTACCAGAGAGATAATGTGGAAAGGGGCAAGTTAAAATCTTCCTGCTCTATTAATACTTGAATCTAAATAAAAAGTTTGGGAAAAAGACATAGGATCTTATGAATTACATAAGCAAATGGAATGACTTGCAGGTTGAATTTCATACATTCGTCTTCATTTAATAGAGATCATTAAGAACAAGCTAAAACTTCACCCTCATTATTTATGGCATTTTGCCCTCACTTGACAAACAGTATCACTACGTGTTTAAATAAATGAAACGAAAAACCTTTTCTTATCAAATTCAGGATTTAAAATTTTTTGCTTTTTATTTCATGATGGGTGTTAAAGTGTTTAAACTGAATTTTAGAGATGGAACAGAGCAAAAGTATAAGCTACATTTTCTGCGCACCTCAATAATCACAATGGTAACATGTTACAGGCTTGCTGTTGGCCAATGAGCACAAAGTTAGAAATTGAAACTGGGCCATATTAAAAATAAAAATCCCACCAGGGAATCTGATCAATTCTGTAGCCTCATCAGTAAGTTTTCCAATTTAGGTCACCGAAATGACAGGGAACGGTGGAAGAAAAAAATATAAAAAGTAAATGCAGTTTTTAAAATAGTTTTAATAATTCTAAGTGTTTAAATGTTTTTTTTTTTTTTTCCCTGTAGCTTTGGCTGGCTCCGACGGGCAGCTGGAGAGCAGGCAACAGTGGCCACTGCTCTAGTCTCACTAGACACACCTTTAAGAAAATAGCCTGAAGAAGGCGGCCTTTTAAATATGATTTTCTCACCTTTTCAGGAAGTTGGAAATAGCAGCAGGAA